TTTCATTGAGCTTTCATTGAATGCTTATTTCAGCTGCTGAAATGGTGTATGGCATCATCACTTTGTGTCATTTTGTTCATTCATTCTGTTTTGTTTTGTTGATTATGAGGTATTTGAGGTTGTAATCAGACTTTTTACATCCTTAGGATCTGGCCTAACCTTAGGCTTGCAATAAATATTAKACTACAAAAGTAGAATTCTTTAAGCTCACTATTCAGTTCTGCAAAATTCATCTCTTGCTGTTCATAGAGAGCTACAATATCTTCATAATGCATGAGTTTCTTTAGGAAACTAATCTTGTTTCAGAAAAAAAATTCTACTTCATTTTTGGTTTAATKTTCTGAGCCACATCCATATACCTTTCTAATCTTCAAAACAAGTCAGTTTCCAAGGACACATTGCTTGTATGTAAAGACAATTCCATAGTGAACTACACGCACAAAGATTGTATAAAATTGTTTTGTATGTTACATTCTATACATTTGTGGAGGGTTGACCTGGCCAGCAGGTAAACACCACACAGTTGTTTATTCACTTCCTGCTTGCTCCCCTCCCCCAGCAAGACTGGGGAAAGAATTGGAAGAGMAAAAGTGAGAAAATTTGTGTGTTGGTAAGGACAGTTTAATAAGGGAAAGAAAGGGGAGTAAATCCCCAAGGAATTTCAGATCAATGCCCYGCCAGATTCTGAGCAGAGCCTACCTGACAGACAAATCACCATCCCTCTCAGATTTTATTGCTAAGCAAARTGCTGTATGTGTTAAATGTCCCTTTGGTCACGTGGGGCCAGCTGTCCCAGCTGTGCTCCCTCTCCACATTTTGTGCACCCCACGCCCATTTGCTGAGGTGACAGCACRGGAAACCAAAGACACTGACACTGTGCCAGTGCTGCTCAGCAATGGCTGGTGTGTTGTAAGCATTGCTTTTGTTACAAATCCAAACACTGCACCTCAGAAGCTGTTCAAAGACGATTAATTTCATCTCCGTGTCTGCTGTAAGATAAGATATCAGGGTAGAAGACTGACCTGGTTAAACAGAGACCTTAGGCTCAAACTTTTGACAAAAATAGTGAGTGTAGTATCTCTGGATGGATGAACAGGTAACTTTGGGGATGACAAAGATGTTGTGAAGTATGTGGGGAGAAAATTAGAAGGGCCAAAGCTAAACTGAGCCTTAATTTGGYCACTGTGGTTAAAGACTAGGTGACCCTGATGGTCTGTTCCAACTGGATGATTTTGTAAGCTCAGCTAGATGCAGAACACTGTTATTGCTATTGTATAAAACACTATTTTTAAGTAAAACTTAAAAATTATCCGTGACTCATGAGCTATGGCCTCTGCCATGAGATCTGCAGCAGGGYAAGACTGAAATCTGACTATATAGGCATGGCGCTAGCTAGCATCAGACTTTGTTTTGTCTTGGATCCATTAAGTTTTATTATGCTACACAAAACAGTGGAGTGCGTAAATTAAGATGGTAATTACAGGACAAAAATTTGGCATTGCCTCAGTCATATAATATTACTTAGGRTCATTGATCAAATTATGTCAATTCCAGAATCAATGAGTGTTTGTAATTTGGGATGTGAAGGCCTTATTAATAGTGCTGTCAGGGTCTTTGTATCTCCATGGCTTCTTTAGGTGTTTAATTAAATGTGACCTTTTAATTGAAAGAAGACCTATGTCTTTATCCATCTYGAAACTGGCAAAAGATGTAGTGCTAAGAAGTGATTACATGCTGAGGCCAAATTTGAGAACATCTTTCTTATTAAAAAAATTTTAGGTGGTGAAAATAAAGTAAAAAGACTTATAAGGGAGGTATTTTRGAATTATATGTAACCCAACAGCTGTAATGTACACTGTGTAAATTATATGGAGTTGGTAGATATTTCAGTAAATGCTACAGGTTAGAAAGGCATAGGAACKTTAAGCTCACTGTGTTAGAATTTTAAGCACTTTTTTTTTTTTTTGAGTCAGATCAGTATCAATTGCATTGGTCTGACAAGAAGTGTTCCATTTTTTTATAGGAATTGATCAGGAATTCCTATTCTAGTTGGCTGGTAGCAACTGTGTCTCACAGGAATAACTCTAATGGGTAACATCTAAGTTAGGAAAATGGCTTTACTAACAAAACATCCTAGATTTGACAGCAAAAAAMCCAACGAGAAAATCTCAAATCCTAATATTACTTAGTACTAATAAAGGCATTGTTATACATCAGTAGAGTGCAGAAGTAATATACTGCATTGATTTCAATGTAGGMAGTTTCCATTACCTATGTATGCTTATAAGTTTAAAAATAAGCAATTTTGAAATACACAGAGGGAAATGTTTTAGTTCAAAATCCTACCCCTAGCTTCAGAATGCATTGGATCAATTTCTTAATCAAACAACAATRTTATACTGGCATCAGTACACTCATCAGCAAAACCTGTGTTGCTCAACTACTGAGTTTTCATACTTTTCAGTTTGGAAATGGGTCTTTCAATTTCTGAAACCTATGTGGCTTGAGACTGAACATTTCTGTATCGGAGCATGAACTGACATATAAATTAAATTATTAATAAGTAAACAATTTAGCACATGAATACATTAGTATATGATGYATGAGAATATATCAGAAGAAAAAGCAACTAAAAATTTATAGGAAGGCTATCATTATTAAAGTGTTTATTCAGTGATAAAATGTATATCAAAACATTATATCAACTTAATATCATGAAGGAGGGAGGTTCAAAAATAGCTAGTATCTCAGAGTCCAATTTGAAAGTCCATAAAGTAGCCTTATTTTTCACATGGCTTATGTTTCACATATGCTTTAGTGTATTTGAACTGCTCAAGGGACAGAGGAATTGAAGTGCAAATCCTCCATATGTATGATCTGCTGTGATTATATATAAAGTGTATACTTGCATATTAGAATCTATTAGTTGTAATTTTCTCTTTCCTTAATTTTTGTTTAAACTTGCTTTTTCTTTGTTTTTGGTTTTTTTTTTTGTTTTTTTTTTTTTTTTTTTTTTTTTTTTTTTTTTTTTTTTTTTTTTTTTTTTTTTTTTTTTTTTTTTTTTTTTTTGAATTGCTTCTATAGATTCTTCAGTGCCTTTCTGGTACCTTTCTTTCTGATGCCTTCATTTCTGTAACTGTGGACTAAAAGACAGTCAGTTGCAGTTTCTGGGTTCCACTGTTGTTATCAGCTTGTTCATTCATCATGAGCTTCTTTTGGAGTTTGGATACACCAATAACCTTTATGTAATAATATGAAATGAGTATTGCTTGGGAATGTTTCAGTGTTTTCCAAGGCATTCAAGTGAATGTTTAACATTCTTTATTATCATGTTTTTTGTCTCTCTGTGTTTGGTTATTTATCATTATTGTAGCCTTTCTACGTGGCTTTGCAGTCAATCTTCTTGGTGTTTTGCTCCTTTAGTTTATTTTTCCTCTTTGCATCAGGTTACAAATGTACATCTTCTAGAGTGATCACATATGTCTGAGGGAGATCTCCTTTAAAAATGTGGGAAACTGATCCAATTTGATTGAAAAAGTAGGGTTGAACTAATTTTTCCATCGTCAAATACATCTCCTACATGTTGCAAGACTTAGACAATTTCAAATGCTTCAAAAACATGTGATTTAACTGCATTTTTTTTTTCATGGTGTGTGCTTTTTTAGGGGGGGACTCCCTCTTCTCTTAGTCTGTTTCCTTCTGTGAGCTTAGTCCAAGTTGTCTTAGGTCCTTGCCCATTGCATTTCAAGTTTCTTCATTCCTCTCAGCTYTGCACTTGCAGACAGGTCTCTGTACAAAATAGTTTGTTGCAAATTCTATGAATGGAGGGACCCACATTTGAATCAGAAAACTGGGCAAATTTCATTGTACCTCCTCTCCCCAAATTTGTAGTAGGATATTTTTTATTTTTAATATTTGAATTTTATTAAATAGAGAAAGATGTGAGTTGGGAAATGGTAGAAAAAAAAATAAACAAATCTTGGAATTGGATGAGTCTGGTGTGCTTTCTTTGAAATATATTAGAAAATGCTCTCTAATGACTGTTTTAGATACATTAGAGGCTGTGGTGTACTTGACCCACAATGCCAATAAATCTRTAGTCAGTTTCTATGAAATGAAGGCATTCTGTAGAAAAAGAATTTTCAGGAGCTGATCAGCTACTGTTGAGATGTAGCTTAATAATATGAACTCCACTAGGATGATCAAAAGAAAATCTTTTCTCTCATTTTAAACTCAGCCAAGGTGTCTGTGTTGGCTGTCATGATTCTGCTTGAGTCATGGAAGTTGAATATTCTAGTAGGATCTTGTGAAAATGGATTACTACTCTTGWTTGTTAGTCAACAATTTTTAAATAAAATTGTCTTGCTCAGCTGTTGACCATTTTTTTTCATAGTTGCATAAATATAAAACCAAAATAACTTCAGTTATAAAACTGATGACTTACACTGATATCTAGGGTTAGTTCAATGAACCTGAGACCTTAAGAAATAGGAAAGGTATGAACTTGGTAGCTAGGACAGTTTTGAATTACCCTACCTTGGTGGGAAAAAAATCTCAGGTTTTGAATAAAGAGGTATATAGGTGTTCCTGCATGCAGAGAATGTSAATAAGCTTAAATTTAAAAAAAGAAATCTCTATTTGTCAATAAAGCATGACACTTATGTTTTTATTTCAAGAGCGTTTATTKTAGACTGGGTTAGGAAAGGATTTTGATTGATTCTGTGGAAGCTGCTTTGTCTTACTACAGGTTGTATTATGAGAATAGTTATTTTGCTTAAGACATACCAAAACAGTACCTACCTACCTACTTATTTCTTGGTTTAATGTATTAATTCATATTTTGTRTTCTAAGTAGCATGTTATTTAATATTCCAGCACATATCCTGTTGAAGCAATAACACAGAATGAAGATAATTCCCTTCTAAAGGACCTTAGTSTTTCCATCTTACTCACACTGTAAGAAAAACTACAGTAGATTGGTTTTTGCTTATGTCTTCTAGACTCTAGCCGGAGAGTTACACCAAAGCATACAAGATCTGAAARCAAAAATCAAAGTGGCAAAAAAAATGGGAGGAATGAAAGCATGCAAAAAGGGTCTTTCCCAAAAGAGTCTTCAGTTGGCAGCATCTGTCCTTAATGTTTCAGCAACTGATCTTTATGAAATACTACAAGAAGGAGATGATGAGGTAAGTTATTTTAAGGACTTCAGTAAAAATGGGCATAGATGACAAGATGCTGACAATATTCGTCCTTGAGGAAAAGGATTTGCAGGTAAACACTGAAATTTCATTGTGCAAGATGCAGCACAAAAATCACMGAAGGATTTAATGTAAATGAAAAGGTCAGGTTAGAGATTCATGAGGCTGCAAGACTTCAGGCACGCATAAAYATAAACATTCTGCTTTGGGCATGTGTATGTAGAGATATTATTTAGTACTTTCCTTTTTTCATGAGACTATTTGGCAGGATTGTACATTTTAAATAGACTTCTGCATTAAAGAAAACWAAATTAGAATGTGTCTTGCTGTGCCAGATGGATTTTGTTGCTGCTTGTTTTCTGAATTCTGATACCTATTAAAGGTATTTCTGGTAGACAGATGGTTTCTGGGTGACTCCAATGCCTTTTTTGTTGATTCTATCATACATTTTACTATGAAATATTTTATAGTGTTTCATCAAATTACTCTCTATTAAATAGGTGCAGTGACAGGATTTCTTATCCAGATTTATATAGTCCTGATCAAATAATCTGTGAAACAGCCTTTATAGTCAGTTTAGAAAGTGTCTAGGAGTTGGTTGGTATTGGCCTGTAACAGTACTCTGGTGATGACTTAGATTTAGCCTTACTGGAGCTTCATCTTAAAGAAAACACAAAAAGGGAGTTACTGAGTTGGTTAAACAACAGTGTATGATACAGGTATGCACTGATACGGATTACACGCATGAATACAAACAAAATGGGCTGATCCCTGCCCTGTTTGCTAACATTTTTACAACCTGTAAAGTGATTCACTTTTGACAGAGTTGTTCCATGCTTACCTCATTGTCAGAGTAATTTCTACAACCTATATAATTTTGTTTCAGTCACTGTGAATATATGTGAAAAAGACATAAACATACTTAACTATAAATATAACCTGTGTAAAACAAATYTGTAACACAGGTGACGAATTTACACCATATTTATCCTATATATTCCATCTGTCAGTGCATAGAGTCAGGCATCTTTATGGGGAACTCATAAAATTTAGACATAGATCACATGTACACCAATATATTCATATGAAAAGAACATGCCATGGGCAGGCAAGGATAGGTTTATAAATTTAACAGAACTCTGATACTTGGTGGATGTGCATCAGATAACTAATTTTGCGTAGTTTTGATTTCCGCRTGCTTTTTATTAATATATACCAAATTACACATTTCCTTTATTGCTCCTGATGTTTTTCTATTTTTAGGAAACAGCAAAGATAAAAATGGAATTTGAAAAAGATAAAGAATGGCTACAGCATATACAGAAACTACTTGAAACACAGGTGCTCAATTTATATCTTCCAAYAATGAATGATAAATTTCTACTCTAGCTAAGTGTTTTTAGGTTGCGATGAATACACTGTATTTGTAATTACAGTGCCATTGATGGTCACAAACTAGACTTTRATGAGGCAATGTGAAATCCTTGTTTTGTTGCATTTCCTTTTTATTTCTCTTAAAATCAGAGTTACTGCATAAAACTGAAGAGATGTTCATCAAGGATTTGTAATGGCTAACTTAGCAGCTAACTTAAGCTAGCATAACCAGTGAAATACTACTGGAGAAAACCAGCACAGATCTTGGTAAATGTGTTAATTGAATTATTGAAACACTGTATAATGCTTGCTAGAGTGAAAATGATCCATCTCTCATACCTCTTAGGAAAAAGAGACTTTTTTTTATGTGCCTTTAAAGTTACTAGTTGTTATGGACACCTGAGGAGTTCATGGGTTTCGGTGACCTTTTACTGTGGACCTGTTTCCAGTCAATTCATGTTTTCCTCATAGCCAGACAGCTGTTTATTATCGTGTCTTCTCGCATTCTGTACAATATTTTCTACTGAGACCTCGAGCAGCTTGTTAGTGGGAAGTAAATATTGATTTGGCATCCTGTCAATGCAGAAAGAATGAAAAAATTTCCACCAGAGGCCCCTCAAACATTTTCCTATCGACATTTTCTGGGCAGAGAGGAAAGCTGCATAGAGGATGACAAGTCTGAGACTAGCAGAAATCCCTGAGGGGTCCATTGAGACTGCTGCTGTGACCTGTGTGATACTTTTTCTTCTCTTTCAAGTCTTTTTTTTTAATACACACAGAGTCTGCTGGGATGCTCCCCTCTTGTAAGTGATCAAGGGCAGTTTATTGGCAGGTGAGAGCCCAGCTTTTCTAGCCAGAGTCAGCTTTTGTTTGGACATCACTGACAACGTATACTGACTCTTSAAACTTTTCATTTTATTTTTAGTTGTCTCTTTTGTTTAGATGATGGGCAGCTGATGTCTGGAAAGAAATAAAGTTTGATTTATAAATCCAGTGTTTCTAATGCATATTCACTCGCTGGGTCCATTAGCGATGTAGTTAATATCACTTAAGACTGTGAATGATTGAAAATATTTTGAAAGCCATTTCAAAGGAACATTCACATCAGATTTATGTATTTTACCATTAACAGCTTTTGTGTCGAGATGGTATCTGTCGAGAAGGTATCCTGTGACCAGATTTTTAAGAAATGACAGGTTTTCCCTCTTTCATTATCTCAACTTAGTACCATGATGACTGCTTAATTGCAGCAGATGAAATAGAAATATCAGTGTGCTTTTACTGGCTTTGTCAGAAAAACTGGCATTTTAATTAAATACCTCATAATGCTACATGAAACTCAGTACTAAAAGTGCAATTATTTATATTCAATTGTCTTAGTTTTAAGAATTGTTTTWAAAAACCATAAATTTCAAGATTATATATTGCCCGTTCATATTACGGGCTCCAAAATATGAATCAGAKTCATGGAATACAAGTCAGACTTTTATTCTATTTTTTGTTATTCTTTGGTAAATCACTAGACACACTGAGCAAAATTTTATGCATTTTCTACATCTACTATAGACAGACAGAAAACACAGGGAATAAAGAGTAAAAGAATTATTGAATGAAATCAGCTATATTAGGATTGCAAATGTTATATGAGGATAGAAGAGCTCATTGCTCTGAGCCGCGTAAGTTTGTGTACAAGCTAATAGTGATTTTCAGTGATTTTTGCTCCATCTTGTGGGGTTCCTCAGAAGAAACAGTGAGGATAAAAGTAATTTTTGTCAAGCACACCAATTTTTAGAATTGCGAGAGGATTATAGGGGTTTTTGGGAGCAGCCAGCTATACTTTATATTTCTTCCATGCTAACGCACATAGATRGAAACTGTAAAGATTTCTTCATCTGTGTTTGACAGCAGCTCATGGAACTGTTCTGTGCCCTTTAAAATTCTTTACTCACATCTTGTAGCRTTTGAATATGGTTCCTTTTACTAAGCTTTGGTAATATTTCTGATCAGTAAACTAAAGCCCATGGTGAAATGTAAGCTTTCTGCAGGATTTTGCTCGTAGACTTAGACTTTGCTTAGACTGCCTGCTAAGTGTTACATGTTGCCAAACTGTGTTACCCATTTGCATCTTGAACAAAGATGCAGGATTGTCCTTTTCTGTTATTCTGAGTAAACGTTCAGTGGAAAATTGCAGCAGATCACTTAATATTGCGGTTTGATATAGTGTCTTTKTGTGCCATTGAGCCAGGACTTTGGAACATAATTGCCCAGCAGTATTGATTTAATTGCCTATGTTTATTTGTGGACTCCTAATTATTGACTGGAGGTAAATTTAATGGAGAAACCTTTATGAACACTGGGAAACTGCTGCTGTTGCTGTTATACATAATGAACTGCATCATATCCCTTTAGATCATTCTTCAAGCTAATTTTATTCCACTGTGACAGTATGATAACATTTRAAATGTCATAGACATTTTATTTTTATTACTTATGTACGCCATTTTACTGCTGCACTAGAATTTTGGGGGGACTAAGTGAAACACTAGTTGCTTTTTACTGTGATTTTATACGTTCCCCTAAATACCACACCTCTGTTTTCACTTCATCTGTGCCTTTATTTTCCATACTCATATGACTTGAAAAAGTCTAATATCTGTCATCTTTACAAGAATATTAATATTTTAGTGATAAACACTCTTGCATTCCTGAAACTCACAGACACTACTCAGAGTTTGTGTCCTTTTTTTATGGACTACTGTCAAGAAACTACCCCACTGCTAAGAAGCTTGTTTTGAAAGAGACATCTCTGTATCAGGATGTTATTATGTAAATGAGAATCCTATAATAGGAAAGTACAGTCATATTATAAACTCTGAATGACTGGTAAAAATAATTTATTGTCTAAATCTGCATCTAGAATGGCCAATAAGTGGGTTTTTCGTTCTGTAGCCTCTCTGTATTTATATAGTAACACCCTAGAAGGTTCTCACTAAAGAATAAAAATAAATCGTCTCAATACTGACACTAGGATAAAAGGAAAAGGTTCTCTGGCCTGTGAAGAGCCTGTATGTGGAGAGGTTTGACATGAATGCATGAGTAGATATCTACTACCTGCACATGTGTAGAGGCATCAGACTAATTACAAGTCACTGGTTGGGCTTGGGAGAGGTCTCACATTACAGACCTTTCAGCTTTTAGTGGTTTATAATATTTAGAAGGAAACAAGTATGGTTGTCTCAATAGGTATGTGTTTACATCTTGCAAGGCAAGTGATGAGGTTTTACCCACTCTATCCGTCACATTTAATTGAGCCATGCTCTGTATGATACCACTCTCTTTCTATAATATTCCCCCTAAAAAACTCAAACAGAACAACAATCTTCTCCAGATTTTTCCCATCACAGGAAACATACRTAGTTAGACCAAGAGGATGACTTCTTTTCATGTAACTTAAACATGATTTGTTATACCACCCTTGGTTTTCCTTCACTGTGACTTATTGTGGGGAACACCATCTCAGAACAATCTGTTAATAATTTTGTGTGTGAGTACAGCATGGTAGTACAATCCAGATTACTGCCTGGAGTCTCCAAGAATAATTTTTTAATGAAATGTAAATCATCTGCCTAACTTTTCCAAGCAGTGAAGCAAATGACAGCATTGATTTAGCATGTCCCTCTGAGATCTACAGCAGCACTTGCCTTTCCTGCCTCCTTAGGCACTCTTTGGGATATCACATCTCACATAAACAAAGCTGCCTAATAAAATTTTCCCTCTCATGACTTTATTATGGATCTAAAAGTCATATTCCAATAGTGAAAACTTACAGAAAGGCTCACTTTCCTCTATTCTATGGGCACTCTTTGTGTAACACACCTCTGGAATACGGTTTGGAACAGTATATTCACTAATCATCAGTAAGGACTTTCCCCAACTCCTTTTGGGGATTTGTGTGGACTTCTAAATATGTATTTCTATCTGGGAATGGATGCTAGCAGCCACAGCTGTTTCCTTCCAGATTTCTTGGCTTGTGACTCGCCTGCTTTGCTTTCATTAGTCTCTCACCAGTCCATGTGGGTCTTTTACCAATACACCCAGAAATGTGTATTCACCCATGCAGAAACACCTGTGCACACTCACCACTGCCACCATCACCATGTGTTTCAAGCACCTTAAAAAGCAGTACCAGCACAGTCTGAACCACATTCTGGGCTCCTTTAGCACTGATATCAGATCATTGTTTTTTTTCTTCTCGTTAGAGCTTAGTCCTGTGCACTGACAATCCATCATGRTATATATCTGTATATATATCTCATGCACACAAATGAAACCACTTCACATCACTCATCCTGAACTGCAAACAAGGAGAAATTGGTCACTCATGATAGGAAAACAGATGGGCACATGTGTATTTATATAATAATGTGTATGCAGCCACCACAAAGCAGAACAAGAGCATGGAATAAGACAAAAAAAAAAACCAATAAAGTGAAGCATTTATCTATTTTTAGGAGTTTTTTCCCTATTTTTTTAGTGAAGTTGGAATGTTTTGGTTATTGGTCTTAGTGTTTAGTTTTATTTCAAATTATTTTTTGCGGTTCACTTAATTTAATTTAAGGCAGCTCTGCAGTGTGTTTGGATAGTTTTTTGTTGGGAAAATGTATTGTACTAATGAGTCCATATGGGGAGGTGTAAAATAGTTCTAACCACTTATTTATATGTTCCAAAACTGAAATACATATGCAAACACATTTTAGAGTTTGTGAAACAGAAGCCAAAGTAATGGTACACTCTGCAAATGGAGATGCTATGTCTCATTAGAACAGCAYTGCCTTGCATTCATTATAAGTCTTCTCAGTGGCAGATCACTGTATATTTATGTACTTTTGCTGACAGAGACTCAGTGGTGTAAAGTCAATAAATATTGCTAGTTGTTTGTTGTTTTTTTTAATAGRAGACACAAACTTAAGGTTGGAATAAATAGGTGAGAGAAACAGAATTAACTGTCACCCTTTCATRCTACCTTACATTTATCTATACCACAAGTTGTGTAAGAAATATGCCTTTCATTCATATAGCTTTCTACTATTAAAGAAGAAATCTGTAAATCTGGAAAGTCAAATAAATAAATTCTTTAAATCTATATGTAGTTTGCACTTTCAGATATTGTGAAAACATACAGATCAATTAAATACTACTTCTGTTAAAGCCCACCATAATGTACTGATTTAGGATTGTCACCATTATCAGTTAAATGGTTTGTGGCACAGATAATGGTACAACTTCTGAAAGAAGTATCATTCTRTCTTAAAATACCTAATTATCAGTGGTAAAAACAAGCTTTCACTCCTTAGGTGTTCCCTTAGCCATCACTGAACTTCCAAAGACTTCCAYAAGTATATGGCAGGTTTAGAAACTGGGATGAATGCTTTAGAGATGACTTCAATGTTGTGGTTGTGAAATTCTGTGGAGAAATGTACAGGGAAGTTTCCCAGGATAGTTACAGAGCCATCATTAAAAGTAAATCTGACAGGCTTCCATTAAAGATGAAGACTGTAGASATCATCCAGTTCTGGGTGTCTGTATGGAAAGAAAACCAGAGAGAAACACACAGCACTATCTGTGAAACAAATGTTGAAAGAATGACATAATGTTCCACTTTCAAATGCTCTTGATTTAAATAAATCACTGAAATGGCAAGCGCTCTTGAAAGCTCACTTTGCTATGACATGGAAGCCACAGAGAGCAGTGAGCAGCAAGCAAAATGTATTTAGAATTATTTTAACCAGAGACATCAATGAGAAACCATTCATCTCAGGCAAAACATTAACGAGGGGAAATGTATCAGAAATGGATGTAGTCAAGCTAGGCAAGAAGAATTAGAGACTTTGAGGTAATGATACTGTGTTCTTATAAAAAACATACCTAGAAAAAGAAGGAGAGAAATTAGAGTGAACGAAGTGAAGGAGTGAAATTAGGACACTGGAGTCAGTGTTTTTAAAGCATAGTAGCAAGTAAGTGTCACAGAATTTCAGATAAGATCATGTCTTCTATTAAACAGAATAGATTTGTGCTCAGTGAATTTGAGCTCTCTATTCCCCAAAAAGTCATTGSAATAGCACACAGGAGAAAGCTGACAGGTGTAGATGTCTACTAGAAAATTCTTACCCTACACATAAGTTATTTATGGCAGATGGAGACATGTCTGGCCAGCAAGTACCAGCCCTTGAAAATCCCTTTCCTGCAGAAAAGAGAAATAAAACATGTTGTTGTCCTTTTTCTGTAATTACAAAGTGACTTTTGAGCAACACCTGGGATAGCCATTATATCACTTCACAATAGATACTTTCGATTAACAAGATTTTCCTTTTTTAGATTTTTTTTTTCCTGACTTTTTAGTAATTATAAATCAGTATACATGCTCATGTCTGTATATCAGTTCAGACATTACATCAGCATTATTATTTTATGTACTTCTATGTTTGGGTTTTTTATCTGTTTCTCCCATGTCTTTTTTGTTTCATATTTACTAGAAACAGGCAGTACTCTGTCTGGTGTACATACCATACAATGTTCTCTTTGAGATGGAATAGAGAAGTGAAAAAATGAAATGAAGCAGCAATAATGAAGTATGGAACTAGACAGGAGTTCTACATGAAAAACTGTTGCTTTGAACTACAGTTGTGTAAAGCAGAAACTGATGATTGGCCTCTTCCACCAACTGCTGTGTTTTACCTTGTGTATTTCTGGTGGCCTTATAATGTAAAATTATTTCTCCCT